AAATTTAAAATTTAAAATGATGGCGGTCATTTTTTCAAAGCATGAATTTTTTTTTTAAAAAATTGAAAATCAAAATTTAAAATATTGACAGTTTTTTTCAAAGTTTAAATTTGAATTTACTTTTAAAAAATTAAAATTTTAACAGTAATATATAAAAAAATTAAAAATATTCATATAAATAAATTTTAAGTTTAATTTTAAATTATATCTTTTAACTTTCATATTATTTCATTAAATTTTATATTATTTTTATAAATTACTCATATTAATTATATAATTAATAACATCATAATTATATTATATATAAAATATGTAAATTAGTTATATAATTATATAAAAATAAATTTAATATGAAATATATTAAAATATAAATGGCTTTTCTAAATAGATTTTTACTATTAAAATACACATAAATAAAAAAAATCATATTTATATTATTTAAAAAATCATTTTACCAATTTAATTTATCAATTTAACTTTTTGCATTAGAGATGCTGTTATAGGGGGGGAAAAGAGAGTTCTGGACCATTTAGCCAACACTATTTTCGGCCACTTGAGCGTAATAGGTGTTCTTTATAGTAATTTCATATATCAAGTGTTTATCGGCCATTCTCCCAACCAGTAATATAGCCCAAACCCTAGAGAGTGGAGACGGCTCTGCTCTGCTGCTTCACCATCCACAGGTCCCCCCTCTTATCCGTATATTTCAAAACGAAAATTATTAACCCGTTTGTTTAGGGTTTCAAGTTGTTGATTGGCAGCAATGGCACGAGCCAAAGGTATGATTTTATCCCATTTCAGTATTCTTACATAATCTTGACTGGTTCTTTAGTCTCACTTTCTGAAACGTTCAATTTTTTTTTTTGTCGTTTGTTTCACGTTTTGGTTTGGTGACTTTGTAATCTTGGTTTAATTACCCAGAAAGAAAATATGAAGTGAAGGATTAGAAGAAAATTAAATGGATGGACATGATTTAATGTTTTTTGATAGAAACGACAGAGATAATGAGCAATGTTGTTCTGCTAAGTTAGTTGTCTAGAAGAAATGAAGCTTCTCTGTTATTGTTTTTTCTTTTGACGGGGAGAGAAACTAAGCTTTGGAATGAGTTTATTGTGCTTTCAATGTGCACTTCTTTTTTTTATTCTGATGGGAGCATTGAAGGAGAGCAAAGTTAGGGTACCGCTGCCGTGCCTATCCATGAATGACATCCTTGGGTTCACTGTTTTTGCAATTTTTTTAGAAACTGGCTTCATTATTATCCACGAAGAATCTATTGCATGATGTTTTTTATTTCCCTCCTTGCTTCATGGCAATCATGATTAGCACTGCTTAATGGGTCTTTATCCTAGTCTAGTAGGATTATTATGATTCAACGGATGTATTGAAAAGAGCAGTTGGGGGTAATGCTTGTTGGGGTTTTCAAAGTTTGTGTTTCGCTCATGATTGTTACTTTTCTTCACCATTTGTGCGCTTGTTATGTGTGCAACAGACAGTTTGAAAAATTCTGGCCCAAAGGCACAGGCTGTGAAGGCTGCAAGAGCAGTAAAGTCAGGTCCAACCTTCAAGAAGACCAAGAAGATCAGAACTGAAGTTACATTTCATCGACCAAGGACATTGAAGATGGAGAGGAATCTGAAGTATCCTCGCATTAGTGCTACACCAAGAACAAGCTCGATCATTATCAGATTTTGAAATATCCTCTCACAACTGAGTCTGCAATGTAAAAGATTGAAGACAACAACACCCTGGTATTTATAGTTGATTTGCGTGCTGGCCAGAAGAAAATCAAGGATGCTGTCGAGAAGATGTATGACATTCAGGCCAAGAAAGTGAATACCCTGATCAGGTACCCCTGCCTTTCATTTTTGTCTTTTATTTTCTTTTTATATTTTTATTCTTGAGAAAATACAATGCTTTTCTTTCAGCAGTGGTTGATTGACTACTTTGATTTGCATGCAGATGGTGTTTTCCAATAATTGCTTATTTGTTTTTCTGTTTTTTATTTTGCTATGGATGAACATGTCTTTACCTAATATCGTTACCCCAAACAAACACACGTTCATCAGAAACTTTGTTTCTTGTTGAAATATTTATCCTCAATATTTGGCATCTTGTCTGATCCGACCATATAAAGATATTGACTACCACCATAAGAAATTTAGAATATTTTGATAAGATGGCTGTTTTTTCTCCTGTAATGAAGAACACACTGATTGGATGTAGTTTGTTATATTTGGCAAATTGGTTGAATTTTCATCTGCCATGGAAAAAAACAACACTCTTTTATGCATGTAAATCCATGTGACTTGTTGCATGTGATTTTGTCTTGTTCATCCTCTTCCCTTTGGCAAATGTTTAGTCCCTTCTCTGAGTTCTCAATGATTTTGTTCCAGGCCTGATGGTACCAAGAAGGCAAATGTTAGGTTGACACCAGACTATGATGCCTTAGATGTGGCAAACAAGATTGGAATGTGCTTGCCCTCTGTTTCTTAAGTTATTTTTTGCCTTTGTATTCCAGATTAAGGTAGTTTTGTTGTGACATTACGGAGGGAGATCTACAAAATTAGTCTGAAGTTGTGAATCTGTGCAGCTCCCTTGTAGGCTTGAAGTTTGATTCATCGATTTTGAACTATGCATTCAACGAGTTACCATACTTTCAGATATTAGATCATTTCAATATCTAGTTTATATAACTGATTGTGTGATCGGGATTCTTATTCAGGTATAGCCTCCAAGTTAACTATAGGAGCCAGGATTGTTTCATTGGCTGGTATCCAATTAGGTTGTTGTCATACCGCAACGCCAGAGCATATGTTTGTGACCCAATAGCTTCCAAAGCTGTTATCTTGAATCAACCTATACATAATAAAGTCTCTGATCCTGGTAAATGTTGCAAAATTTGTATGTCCTTGGCATGTTTTAGATGTCGATGAAACAAGTTTAAAGGAAGAAACAGGGAAGGAAGGATTTAGAGAGAGAAGTGGAAAGACTAGTTAGCACTTGGGTTGGGCGGTAATGTGTCTTGAATCAAGCTCTTGATGGTTTAAAATTTAAGATAGCTCGACCAGTTCTTGTTCTGTTTTTTCACATAATTTGAAAGCTTAAACGCAGTCTGTCGACCTTGTATATTTACGAGCCTGTGGAAATGAGTGGGCGGGTTTGTTTACCTACTAGGTTTCTTTGCCAGTTCCTTCCAGAAAAAGAATGTTTCTGCTGATTTCGTCCCTTTTTTTTTAATCATTTGCCTCGCTCAATTTCAATGTTGCGTTACTTTTTTCCTCTGAAACATGATCATCTTATGTAGTTCAAGGCAACTGCAACGGATATCTGCATTCACAATAGCGTTGACAGGAATAACAATTTCTACATTTCTGTAGTCAAAATCTATCAATCAAGAAAAGAATGGCAATGTATGCATGCAGACACGCGTTTCGCAATTTTCTGTTAGTGTACATTGTTAGTAGTTGCTAGTGGCGGGATGATATCTAGAGGAGAACAATGAATTGTTGGACAGCATTTGACAGGTTTCTGTTGCATTGGAATGGAATATTCCGTCCAAGTTTTACAATTTTCTGGTAGCGTACAATGTTGTGACTCGATGTATCCAACTTCTGTATTTGTCAGGATATTTTTACCAAGAAGATCAGTGGTCATACTAGTAAAAAAAAAGAGAAAAAAGAAGAAGACTATATTAGGTCGATGATTTGTATCCTGGCGTAGCAAATAGTATAAAAAGGCTCATCACACATAACATAATCAAATTTGGTTATAACACTTTCTATTAGGGCATCCATCACTTGGCTATTTGAAACATTTATTTTCTAGTCTATTCTTAAGTGTGATTTGCATGTCATGCAATCTGTTTCAGACAGGATATCACGGGAGATTGGTACTTTACGTTTAGTATAATCAACCTCTTGCCTTTCATCTCTAAAGGGACAAATCACTTGGTATTACTACTAGATAATGACTCTAGTCTTTAGTTTTTGCTCTCAAGGCTGGTCGCTTGTGACAAAAATAGTGGTTGATAACAAAATTGTAAGGTAGTTTTGGCCTGGTCCTGAACTTATTCCTAGTAAGTGACAATATCATCTGCGATGATCTTTGCTGGCGTTTGGACCACGTGTCCTCTGCAAGATGGGAAGAATCTTCTATGTTTGCTTCCATTCCATGCCCATCTGGAGAATAAAGCCACTTAAAACGAATCTGAACCCCCACTCCATGCTGTTTCTTGGCGAACAGCTTCATTGACGCTTCACAGCTCCTTAGCGGGCCAGAACGACTGCAGGTAGTCAAGCAAAGACTAATCTATATTTCTTCGATAATATACCTAAAAGTTGAACTAAACAATTCAATGCGGCTAGGATCTCAGTATTTGCTGGAAATATGCAGAGTGATGGCAAAATAATCCTATGCCTTACCTTAATACGAGGTCGTTTAAGATTGTGCAAGTTCAAGGTTGTGTTTCCGGGCATCCATTCCTAGCTACTGCTTCAGACAACTGTGTCAGTAACACGTCTAAGCTAGTGAAAGTAGCAAGCCATCTTTCTACTGTGGACATTTCAGGTTGCAGCAGTTTTGTTTACAAGTGTACAGCTATGGTGGTATATAAATGAGGCAACCAATCTGCAGCTTATGAATATTTTATTCCGAATGATCTCCTTATCCGCGAAGGGCAGCGGACGTTTAGCAGAGGCTTCAGGGATAACAAATACTGCTTGTTCTGAATGAAATTGTTTTGACACCCTCTTCTATCACGAAAACTTCATGTCTGTTAACTCTTCAAGGCATTTCCGAATTCGCATATGCTAGTGGACCTCAAAACTCAAAGTTAATATGACTTGTCAACAACGAACCAGAAATGGAACCTTTCATGTACAAGGCAAACAAACCAACAGGCTAACTATTTCTGTCATTCAAACTCTGAAAACAATACATCTTATATACACCCTCAACCACTGAAATTTGATTTTACAAGAAGAAAAAAACTTATTAGACTCTCATTGAGATCTTTGCCGCTTTCCAGCTGGGATTTGATGGATAGCACCGGAATTTAGCAAACGTCCATTGCCTATACCCGAACCAGAACCAGGAGCAAAATCTAACATGGAAGCTGAACACATCTGAGAAAATCCTCGAGACATTTCAATGTATGATGGTGAAGCCAATGGTTGTTGAGCTAGACAGCTTGGATTGGCAGTGAGGTTTGGAGTTTCGCAACTAATAGAAACAGGTGGAATATTGAACGTCTGCAGTGGAGGTGGATTTCTCCACCGCGGAAGCGGACCTGCAAGAAGAAGTGTTTGAAGAAGAGGACCTGTATCCATCACAGCCTGCAACAGTTTTCCCTTTTGAGGTAGGACTCTTCCTTTGACAAATTTATCAATTACATCATCGGCCGGATCAATCTTGGCCATTGCTGGAGCCACTAAACCTGTTGGCATAGAGCCATTATAATCCTGAACCAAGGTCTTGTCCACAAACCCCATGTGACATGAGTCTGCCATGTTAATGCTTGAGAAATCTGGTGAAGTAACTGCATCGAGTAAGGAATCCACAGGGGAGGAGCCATGTGATTGGTGATTATATGTATCAGATAGACTGTTAGATTCAGTTATACTGGAGTTCGCTTTAGCAGGCATCAGAAGGGGGCTTTCAGGCTGTGCTTGACGAAGAATGGGCGGTAATTCAGGAGTACTGGAGAGCATAAGTTTGTTAACTAGTTTTTGCAGTTGACCTTTAGCCTCATCTCTTTCTCGGTAAGCTATCTCTAGGAGATTGATTAAATGATTGACATCCTCCTTGTGCTTTCTCATTTCTTCATTTGCTTCAACTTTCAGTGACCCCAATTCAATGGTGGTGTACACAAGCTTCTGCTTCAATTCATCAAAGCTCTGTCAATTCAATCCAATACAAATCAATTACTTATGTTGTTCGCACAAGAATTAAACAAAATATGGCCTGGCAACTTCAAACACACAGACTTTAATACCATGCAATATTTTCATTAGTAGAAGCTGCAGGGCAACAGAAAAAGGTTTATGCCTCGGTTCCAAAGAGTCTCAGAGATCAACATCAATACATTGAGCTTCCAATAGGACAGAAATCTACACCAAACATGCTAACGTAAAAATCACAGAATCCAATTTGGCAGGGACGGAAATTCCAAATGAATCCAATTGATGAACAAGAATTTCAATGGTAGGGGAAACAGTATAATCTCAATTTGGACCCATGCGGATCACAAGCCCTTCAAGTCAAATGACGTGAATCTTTCGAACTCGAAAGGTTAAACTAATGAGAGAAAGAGAGCACCAGCACAACCAATCTCTTAAAAGACATCGATCCCCATAACTTGTGCTATGACATATCGCAGGTTTACATCAATACAGACAAGCCTCAACTCTGAAGTTTCAATAGCAAACAAAAAGGAAGGGGGAAAAATAGCACAAAACAAGGACCACTTTTTTTTCTTTTTTCTTTTACCAAACCAAACCAAAAAACACTAGGGGCATATCATAGGAGAATCAAAACAAAAAAGGCAATGCCATCAAATTAAGGCTACTCGTTCAAGCAAAAAATTACAATTGCATTTGTAAGAGAATAACAAACGTTAACAACATCCAAGACACAGAACATCTACCAAGAAGGCTTTAAAACAGCAATAAATCACATAAAAAAGGCAGAGTCACGAAAAAAGTTTTGAACTTTATAATGGAACTGATGATAATGAGTAGGGAAATGAATTTCTGTTTACACTTTAGACCCCATAAATAAAATACATTGAATATCACAACTGTTCATACTAAACAAAACAGAACAACGAAAGGCTTAAATGCCAGACCAAACAAGACCCAGAAGAGGAAACAAAGAGAGGAAATAATTTATCAAACTAGTAGAAACAACCCACCTCTTGATAATCCCAAACAGAACCCAATTCCTCCATTTTTTTTTTCTTTCTCAAGTCCTGAGAGAGGAAGAAACCAAAAAGAGAAAAGGAAACTCAAGGTAGGGGGGGGTTCAACAAAAGTGACTCGCGACTCATTTATAGAACAATGAGGCACACATGAAGACAAAAGAATGGGATGGCTTTCTCATAAACTTGCAGAAAATCCAATCCACGTCAAAGAAAAAAAAATTTCTTCCAATTAATGACAGAAAAAACAAATCTTCCAACTACAGAGAACAGATTCCAACTTCAGCTTCTGCACTGTATGTAATATTAAATTTCTTTTAAAACTCACCCCTCTTTCAGGACCTCTGTCTCTCACTTAAAATAATACTCTCTTTTTCTCGTCTCTCTGTATGTATTTACATGGTCAATGAATTGTAAATCCTGTTAGATTTTGTATTTCTATAAAAGCTGTTTTCCTAAAATGTTATTTTACGCGGTTTTGTATAAGTAGTTTTCCTTACGTACCCTTTCCTTTTTTGTTTCTTTTTTTTTTTAAAAAAAAAAAGTAAATTCCCCTCCGACGGCTCTTTGGGTCCATGAATAATGGTTTCTCCATGTTTCGTGGTGGAAATAACCACTCATCAGCCCCGTCATTTTGCCGAATATACTGCTAATCATAACTCGAAAACCTCAAGGCGTAAATCATTTATCTAAATAATAATTGATTTGAAAATATCAAATAAAAAAATTATATAAAAAATCAAACAACTATTTCTTAGAGACTTTGCTTTAGCACGTTGTAAAGGAAGATTTTGAACTCAAAGACTGTTCGGAGAAATGAGCAACATGGGTTCCAGTTATGGACTTAATTTCTTATTCATGTGCTTTTTATTTATTTATTTGGTGCTTATCATCAGTTAATCTGGGGAAAAGAAGAAGAAGAAAGAAGAAGTTCGACTTTGGAAAAGAAGAAGAAGAAGAAAGAAGAAGTTCGACTAATTAATGGGTTTCTTCCCTAATATTTTGTTCCATAGATGAAATAATTAAATTAAATTTTAGTTTTATACAAATCAGTTTGAGAACATTAACTAATTACAGCATCAGAAAAAAAAATATTTCCTAAATATTATGAAAGATGAATCCTGGTATCCATGTCCACTTACTAACTCTTGAAAAATGAGTTTTTAAACCTTCGACCTGCGAAATAGCTGGCTTACCCTTGGCATGCACGCAGGCGGAGATGTGGAATTCTTGGAGTCATGATGGCAGGCAGGGCTAGCATTTTATTCCTGTGCATAATCGATCCTGCAAGCTTTCAATGGTATATATTCTAGAATTTCTACTACATTCAATGAAGGGTATATATTATTCTAGAATTTCTACTACATTCAATGAATTCTTAAGACAAATTATCAACGACTAGTAGTGGTCAGTTGATCATCGATCGGACGACAGATATAGTTAAAATCGACCAATATATCCTCGCTCGGATTTGACCGGTTAACGGGAAGTGTTTACTGATCGGTCAGATGTTGTCAGCATAGAACTAAATAGAAAGTCTTACAAAAACATCGGAGAAAATTATGTGTATGCTAGATTTGTTTTTCCTTAACTGTGAAACTGGTCGATGGTTCAACCTAGTTTGATGGATTCTCATACAATAGAAGTCGAGATTGTCATTGGCATCATTTTTATTTTATTTTTTTCATTATTTTTTTCTGATGGAAATGCCGAGGGTTACTAGCTCCTTGTCTTTTATGAAACATTCAGGGAACACATGCAACGTGAGGCACGTATCGAGGTTCTTATCCGGACCAAAAGTTATTTCTTTATTTTCGAGGGAATCTAAAGCGGAAGGTCTAGCTAAATTTAACGGGAGCGCCAGCAACGGACGTAGTCAGGGTTTTTTTTAATTTTATTTTAATGTAAATCTGGTATTTAAAAGTTGATTGGATTTTAATTAATTTGATCAAGCATCCAACCACTGCCTATCCCTAATAAAGGTATGTTAAGCATATAGACACTTTCTCCGGTATTATCTTCCTAGGGGCTAACCTAGAGTTCCCTGTGAACTGCCCAAGAAAACTGAAATCACCCATATAATAGTTGACTTATAATCCATTCTTTCATTATTCTAATTTGTAGCTTTTAACACACTTACGCTCTGTGTGTGTGTGTTCTTCATGACCGTCTAATTTGCTAGCTAGGGGTAGGGGCTACTGCGGTTCTGCTACACAAACAAATTAATATGTATCTTTCAATCGAGGGTCAGCCATCAACTAATTGGATTGCTCTGAAAATTAACCAGGTAAATACAATATATACATCTCAATTGAATTCTTAAAAAAAAAAGAAAAAAAAAAGGAAATTTCTCGATTGAGTCTCCTGAAGTGTTCATGATCTTCTCTCAATAATTATCGTCACCCTCGATAGAAAACATCAAAGTATTTCATAATGAAGAAATTAATTGCATGGCTATTAGGTCCAAACAAAAACTATTTATTTATTTCTGCATTTAAAAAAAAGATTGTGTCTCATAACCAGTCTGATAAAACCTCGTTGTGACAGAGACAATGAACATGGATGAAGTATTGATCTTGACAATGAGGAATTTTCTTTCTTTATCCCGACAAGCAGCTTCAGCACTCTTCACATTTTTTAATATCCTCTGAATTTACCTTTACTTTATTCTCGAAGAACAGTATCATAACTCTTATTGCAATATGTGCAAACACCGTATATACTACTCTATCCTAAATCGTTAGATTAACCATAAAAGATGGCATATCCACAATAAATTATCCATCGTTCCTCCATCGAGCGGGTGGGGCCAAGTGTTCTTGCAACATGCAATCGTGGGCGATGATAATTGGATTGTATAGTTCTCATAAACATTAAATTAACTTCTTAATCATATATAAGTTTATGGAATTCCTTTGGTAGGACCAGACAAAGCTCCTAAATATATATTAATAGCCCGTTTACGACAAAATTGCCAGAAAAAACAGAGAGATTTCTATTATTAATGCAATGTATCTAACCGCTAGAGCTTTGTGCATGTGTGCTTTTATTCTTTAATTGTTGCTTATTCACTTGGTTATGTACACCTGACCATAAATCTGGATCTTTTTAGAATTAATTAATTGTGATATTAAAGAACTTGTTCAGTAAGAAATCGAGAAGGTTACCATTCCACTCAATCAAGAAATTACATGGCTAACTAATTAATTTATTTAGATTGAGGACTACCTAAAATGGGTTATTCTATTAATTATTACCCATAAAAAGTGGGATATTCTATAGCGTCTACGTACGTGCAATTCACTATGCATAAGATTCAGTGCACTGATTTTCTTTTTAATATTTTCCTAATTTGGTGGTTGTAGTTTTCTTTTTTATTTATTTATTCCTTAATATTGTGTTTTGGCTTTAAGTTTTGGTTCATGTTTACTTTGATTTCTTTTCCAGCAAGTTATTTTTGATATTTTTAATTTATAGGTTTAACATTTTGGTCCATTTTAGAAAGGATATATAAGTCCTAAAAAATAATAAAGAAAAAAAAATATTAATTAATCACATTTTGGACATGAAAAAAGTCATTCTAGTATTAATAAGTTTTATTTGATGAAAAAAATATTATTAATATGGTGTTTTTCACCTTTTTTTCTAGAAAAAAATATATCAAAGTTAAAGAAAATTTTTGTTCTTAGTTTAATTTTATATTTTAAAAATAATTAAAGGTTGTTTGAGGTGATGTGTTAGTTTATTGATAGTATAATGATGTTTATAAGTTGAAATAGATTGAAAAATAAATTTTTAGATAAAAAGCTCTATTTTATTTTTTAAAACACATCTTTTATAATAAAAAACTATATAGATACATAACATGTTATCTTCCATTATTTTTCTTAAAAACAAAAATGGTAGGATAAAAAAAAGAAGCAAATCGTGTGTCCCAAGCCTACATGCATTGCCTTTTCTTTTAATTAGTCATACATGCTAGGTCACTCAAGTCTAGTCAAGTAACCTCTTTTTTTCACTTTAATTTTTTCTTCTTCTAAATTTAAATTAATTAAAGTAGATTAATTAAATATACATGTGGGATGCCCAACCCAAGAGTATTAAAATTTAATTATGATAAATTTAAAAAAAAATATCATTTAATTTTTATTTGGTTTTTGGATAAAATTATTTTTTTTTCTAATTTTAGGAGGTGTTGTTTTTTTAGCCATATAGGATTTTTTTTTCCTTGAATTTTATTGAGTTTTCTTGTATATTTCTATTTTTATTGTCATTTAAATAAATAAAAAATTGATTAAATATAATCAAGTTCATAGCTAGTGTTACAAGATAAGTTATTATCTATATTTATTCCTTATTTTTTTAGTTTAGTTTTAAGTTAACGAACATTTTTTTATGTATATATTTATTGGCCTCTATGATTCATAACTTATTTAATTAAATATTTACAATAACCTTTTAATTTATAATTAATTTTTTATATAAAAACACATTAAAAATGCTAGTATATTTTTTTGTGTACAAATTCTTTTTATTTTATTTTTTACCCTAGATTTACGAAGCTGGGGCCAACTGACTAGTAGTTAACCAAGTTATTTGGTTGATTATACATGATCTATTTTTCTGTGATTATAAAATAATCAAGAAGACAAACGGAAGAGACTGGAGAGGGCACCGTTGTCGGCGCCAGTGTTCGTCCACAAACACAACCTATAAAGTAGATGTTAGTAGCCACGTTATGCATACTCGGATAGGGGCATTACAGTCATTATGAGAGATTAACTTTGAAGAATGGTCCAAAAAAGTGGAGACCAGCTGCCCTTTTACCTTCCTAACGGATAACGACTTTACCTGTCGACAAATCATGTGAAATCGTGAGGAATTTAATTAAAAAAGAAATAGAGAGCACAAAACTTGGCGTCGATGTTTTATTTTATTTTAACGGTGAAGGTGTTTTTTCTAGCTTATTATATTTATTATTAAATCTGATCTAGCGTAGCGTATTCATCCAGGACGGGAAAAACTTGGGTTTTAGTATGAACTTGGTTTAAGAAGAATTAAATGAAAATTTATTTAGTTGAATTTAAATGACTCGCTAAATTAATTTATAATTTGATCAATTAAAACTTGATTTTTATGCATACTCAGATAGGGGCATTACAGTCATTATGAGAGATTAACTTTGAAGAATGGTCCAAAAAAGTGGAGACCAGCTGCCCTTTTACCTTCCTAACGGATAACGACTTTACCTGTCGACAAATCATGTGAAATCGTGAGGAATTTAATTAAAAAAGAAATAGAGAGCACAAAACTTGGCGTCGA